CGCGCGCGTGGTGGTGCACACCTGTAATCCCAGCACTCGGGGAGGCTGAGGCAGGAGGATCGCTGTGAGTTCGAGAACAGCCTGGGCTACAAAGTGAGTTCCAGGTCAGTCTCAACTACATAGTGAGACCCTGTCTCAAAAAAACAAACAAAAAAGCGAGAGACACAAACTTTGAATGGGAAACGCTCTCATCTTCAAGGGTTGGCAGCTAATTCAGTTTCTAAAAAGCACCATGTAGGGCAAAGAAAACATCCTGCGGGCCGAGCCTGTCTCGTGAGCTGCTGGTTCGCCCAGCATTACCAGGAGTCTTTTCAACAATGTATTTCAGGAAATTAGTGGACCCTCAAGTTACGACCGGCCTGACATACAAACTCGAGAGCATTAGGTCACTGGAAGAGTCATCTGCCTCTTGCTATCTATTGCGCCTACCCAGGTAAGCATCCAGATGAGTTACAACCAGCCCTTGGGAACCGATGGGGTTCGTATGTCAAGGGTCCACTGTGCTAGTCAGTTAGGCTCCCTTCCTATACCACTAACTCCGAGTGATTTCTAATGGCGGTAGTTGCTAAAATGGCAATGGCACCAGGCCTTGCTTTGAGCGCAGAAGTCCCTGCCATGGCTACGGAGGGAGGGCTGTCGAGATTTCCGCCCCGGGGGCCCCTCCTGTGACTATCAGGGCCTTACCTCCAACGCCCTAGGCCGCCTCTCCCACACACCTCGGAGGGCTCCGGCCAGTCCTCCTGCGGGCCACTAACCTGTCCTACCCACCCTCCCCCTCCCCGTGCCTGTCCCTTGCTGTCTCGAGGTCCCTCCAGCGCAGCCACACACACAGACGTGCCATTAAGTCCGCCTGCGTCTTCAGCGCAGCGGCTTCTCTCAGCCGCATCTCCTCCAGCGCCTGCTCCAGCTTCTGCTGCTGCTCCCTCTGCACAAAAGAAAAGACTCCAGTGTCACTGCTGGGAAAACACGTATCTCTCTCTCTCTCGCGCGCACACACACACACGCACGCACGCGCGCACACACACACACACACACACGCACGCACGCACATGCACACCATGCAGTGGGGGGCCCGCCGGACCGTGCGCGAAGCCATGCGGCCGCCCCAGGAAGATGGGCCTCCACTGAGACTTCATCTGGGCACCCAGGTGCACAGTGAGGAGAGCACTATGGAGAGCGGACGTCTCCAGGAAGAGCACCCGCCACGACTCTACCTTTTCAGTTAAACTGAGACAGAGCTGCTTGTTTCCATTTTCCAGATGTTGCAATTGCTCTGTCTTTTTTTCATCTCTCCGGACCAGCTCCTCCATTTCTCTCTCTTGACTCAATAGCTGGGACTGGAGAGGAAACAGTGAATCCACCAAGACAGGAAAGGCGGAAGACTAAGAACGGTGCAGAACTCCTGTGCTCACACACAGATGTGCTTCCCTGGCAACTTCCAAGGCCGTCAGTCCCTAGGAACCCCTTCGCTTTCCAGCTCCATCTCACAGCCTCAGGATCCCAGACCCCACCGAGAAAAATTAGGTGAAACGCTCTTGAAATCGCAGCCCTTCTCTAAGGCACAGCTCCCCAAGATGAGCTGCCGCCTGCCCTTCCTGGCTTTGAAAAAGACACTGCATGAAAAGATTTTTGGGGCTAAGTAACAAGGTGTGGAAACCACCGGCTCACACGCCTGCCGAGCTCCTGCAGGGTGCACACGGCGCAGACCCAGTTACCTACACTGTGAGGGGCCACCCGGCCGGGCTGGGACGCCAGCCAGGAGCCCCAGTCTGAGGCTCTGCGCCAGCTGGGCTGGCCCGGCAGTGGGTGCATCTCAGGGCCAGCAAGTGAGCGGGCAGAGCTGAGAAGGGTCCCTGGGGGAAGCGAAAGCACGCGCAGGTCACCTACCCGCAGCTCCGCCACGCTGGCTCCCAGCTGCTCATTTTCAGAGCGCAGCTTCCGGTCCTGTTCTTTCAGTCTGCAGGGGGACCGAAGGGAGGGGCTGAGAGGCCTCACTCCAGGTTGGCCCCCAGCCTGACCCCCAGCGCTCACCACACCCAGGGATGCGGAATTGGGAACAGGGCATGTTTCTGACACCTCCCAGGAATGCACAGAGCAGATCCACCCAGCCCACAAGTGCAGTGCGCTCACTGGAGCCTCTCGCTGTCCCAGCGGGTCTTCTGCTCCTCGGATTCCTGCTCCAACCTCTTCCTGACGCTCTGTAGAGTCTCTAGTTCCTCCTGCAGTTGAAACACCAGCAAAAGAACGCACTGTTTCTAAAACACATTTTATTATTCGGAAACAGGGTCTCCCCGTGCAGCCCAGGCTGGCCTCAAACTCATGGTGATCCTCCTGCCTCAGCCTCCCGTATACTGGGATTACAGGCGTGATTCCACACCTAGCCACTAAAACACACGTTAGTATTTAAGGCAAACTACAAATATATTTTTTTCTCTTTTTAGCTTATTGATGCAGGATCATACTATGTAGTTCCGGCCGGCCTTGAACTCAGTACATAGTCCAAATGCTGAGAGGACAGGTATGCATCACCACATCCAGCCTCTTTTTATTTTGTTTTTGAGGTACTAGGGATTGAACCCAGGGCCCTCACACTGACTCACACCCTCAAACCTTGTTTTTATTGCTACTTTCTTATTTACTTTTGTGCCAAGGTCCCATTAAATTGCCCAGGCTGGGCTTCAACTTCTGATCCCCCAGCCTTCTGAGGTTACAGGCATGTGCCACCACACCCAGGGACGCAGCTGCATTTTTCCTATGGAGAGAGTGGGCTAGGCTTACATCTCAGTGGTAGAGCACTTGTCTAGCATACATAAGGCCCAGCGTTGGTTCCTTAGCACCACAAAACAGACAAGGGAATAAATAAGAAAAGAACATAATTTAAAACATTTTAATGTAGAAATCCCTTTGCTTGGATATTTCATTCACACTGTCTTGCTGTGATACACAGTAAGTGCTCAGTAAATTTCCTTGGCTTGAGCTGGTTGTGATGCACACTCTGACCCCAGCACTCAAGAGGCTGAAGCAGGAGAATCGCCATGAGCTGGAGGCCAGTCCAGACTACGTGCTGAGTTCAACGCCAGCCTGAGCTACACAGTGAGGCCCTGCGTCGGGGGCGGGGGGAGGCAGCTACCTTCATTTCACCTCTACAGGAGTTGACGTTTGTCCTTTAAGTCATTAAAGCAGTGGCTGTCCCACACCAGACACGTTTCTACAGTGGACAGAGTAGACAAAGTTGCTTTTCTTCGGGAACAGTGCTGTCGTATAAATGACTAAAAGCCCCATAAGAAGTTTAGCAGTCACATGAAGAGGAAAGTGACAGGCGCTTCATCCACAGTGGGCTGAAGCACTGCGCCTAAAGCCTCATCTCCACAGGGCCCACAGGGAGCCGCTCCCCTTTCTCACAGCCGCATCTCAGGTGCCTCACAGCCGCAGGGGCCCTGCTGCCCGCCACCCCGCCCCTAGACACTGCTCTGTCCTCTCCCTGCTTCTGTTTCTGAGGTGAGGTCTGGCCCTGGGCTCGGGCCGGCCCTGAACTCTTGACTCTTCTGCCTCAGCCCTCGGGCCTGCACGGCCACTTGGGCGCCTGCTCAGTCCCTTCGTCTCTGGAGAGCGCGCGCTTGTGCTCGGGTCTAGCACTGTCCGCTCTCATCCACGGCCTGGGGGTTTGGAGCCGCCCTCACGCTGACCCCCTGGGCCCCATGTCGCACCCGGCCCGGCCACGCCTCAGACCACACACGGGCGGTGGCCAGGGCGCTGCCAGGCTCCCCGAGGACGAGGGGCCCCGACCGGAGCTCGGCCGCCCACACTCGAAGGGCTCCTTCTTACTGTTCCCTTCTCTGCGCTGCAGCGCTGGGCGTGGAGGCCCGCGCTCTGCCCCCGAGCTCCCCTACCCGTCTCCCTCCTCTGAACCCTGCGGTGCGCCTGTGCGGCCTGGGTCAGGGCGCTCCCGCACCTGCTTCCTCCGCAGCTCCGCCTGTGCCGCCGAGTTCTGCCCCTCCAGGTGGGCGCAGCGGGCTCTCAGCTCCTGGTTTTCCTGGCAGAGCTCCTTCTTGTGCTGCTCAGTCTCTTCCACTTTCACCTACAAAAGAGCGCACCCGTCAACCGAAGCTCCTCTCGAAAAAGGCCCCCTGTGAGCCGGGTGTGGTGGTGCACGCCTGCAATCCCAGCACTAGGGAGGCTGAGGCAGGAGCATCACTGCGAGGTCCAGGCTGGTCACAAAGGAGACCCTGTCTCAGCTGCCCCACCACACGCCACCACACATGCGGTGTGGCCAGGGGCTCGGCGCCTCCTGCCTCAGAGTGACACCTGCGACCCAAAAGACGCAGCTACTCCTGAGTCTGCGGTGGCCGAGGAGACAGCGGAGGGGCCAAAACCAAGAGCGTGATGAGACACATGAGGGCGACAGAGAGCAGGGCCTCCTCCCCACAGGCCTCAGTGTTTGTCTCACGGGCACCTGGCTCCCACGGACAGCAGTGTTCAACGTTCTTTTTGTTGGTGCTGTTTTTGAGACAGGGTCTCCCTATGGAGCCCAGGCCAGCCTCAAACTCACAGCGATCCTTCTGCCTCAGCCTCCTGAGTGCTGGGGTGACAGGTGAGTGCCACCACACCCAGTTTAACTGATTCTCACATGGCCCCAGTGCCCAGTATGGTGTGGGACGATGGAAACTAGTTTCCCTGCTAAACAAGTAGGAATGAATTTGCTGGGTTTGGTGGTGCACGCCTGTAATCCCAGCACTTGGGAGGCTGAGGCAGGAGGATTTCTGTGAGTTTGAGACCAGCCTGGGCTACACAGTGAGTTCCAGGTCAGTCTCAAAGACATAGGGAGACCCTGTCTCAAAAAAAACAAAAACAAAAAAAAAGAATGAATCTGACAGGTAGGAAAGGCTCCAGGTCACAACTCAGATACAAATATTCAGTGCCCATCTCTCTGGTAGAGCTTTGTTTTTCTCTGTTGTTGTTGGGCGGAGGGTTCTTGTTTTTGTGGGTTTTGAGTTAGGGTCTCGCTGTGTCACCCAGGCTGGCCTCAAACTCATGAGCCCCAGTGAGCCGCCCACCTAGGCCCCCCAGTAGCTGGGTGACGGGTATGTGCCGCCCTCCCCAGCCCCCACGGAGCTCTTCCGTTCTGAGGCCGTTAGACAGGTGGAGACACAACTCCGGCCAGGAGAGCCACAGCACTGACTGCTGCGTGAGCTGCAGAAGCTCCAGGGAAGGGCAAAATCCCTCACCGGCAGGTCACAGCCCTAGCGACAGTGTGGCTCTCTCTGTCGTCCTCAGTGTCCCCGCCCCGCCTGTTACTGGGAGCATCAGGAAGGGCTTGAGACAGACGATCACGGACCTTAGTGGTGACAATCAGGATGTCCTCCTCACTTTCCGGACGGAACTGGAAAGGGATGCTTGCTCCTCGGACCATGCCGTCCTGATCCACATAGCAGAACTGGTAGTACTCATCATCCTTCGGCAGGTAATAGGCTGAAAACACAGTGTGTCAAGAAAAATCAGATCTGCTCCCCACACATTCAAACTGGAAGCTTTGTTCTCTGCTCCAGAAAAGCGTGAGCTCAGGGAACCGCCCAGCTCCGGCCGGGTCTCGGCACCTTCGCCGCACGCTCTCTCACCTCTGAACTGGACTTCCTGCTGCTTGGCGCTGGGGTCACTGGGCAGAGCCACCCACATGAAGGTGTAGTACTCCCGGGTTGTCTTCCAGCCCACCTGCAAGGACAGCAGCACTCAGGCTCACACGGGGGCCTGCTGGGCCTGCGGCTACTAAAATGTGGCTGCTAAAATTCCACTTATTTGTATGCATTGAAAATGCAGGCCGGGCACAGTGGCACATGCCTGTAATCCCAGCACTTGGAGGCTGAGGCAGGAGGGTCACTGCGAGTTGGAGGCCAGCCTGGGCTACATAGGGAGACCCTGTCTCAAACAACAAAACAAACATTAGATTGAGTTCTTAAAGACAAGGACAACTAAATGAGAAAATGTCTGACATGACTGAAAACCGAGGCTCATGTGCAGTGAAAACACCAGTTTAGAAGAAAGTAGAAAACTAGCTCTTCAACACCCAGGACATGAGTTCCGGATTTTATCTGCAAGTCCTACGGGGATGACTGGGTGAAAAGTTCCAGACTTGCAAATCTTGATCTGTTTTTTTTTTTGGTACTGGGGATTGAACTCCAGACCTTGCACTTGCAAGGCAGGCGGAAGCACCACTGAGCCAAATCCCCGGCCGGCAAATCTTGATCTGCTACGTCTTGCTCTGGTTTTCTGAGAACTTCAGTCAGAATACGCTTCCCACCTGCCCTCTCTACTCTGTCCTCCGCGGTGTCCGACTCAGCCCCTCACGTAAGACCTGATTAGACGACTGCACGCGTGCACGCCTTCGTTCATTCACTACTGTGTGAGACAGGGTCTCACTTTACTGTCCAGGCTGGCCTCAGACTCACGGCAATCCTTCTGCCTCAGTCTCCCAAGTGCTGGAACTACTGCCTTTAGACAGCTCGTTCTTAGCCAGGCTTGATGGAGGCTGAGGCAGGAGGGTCAAAAGTTCATACTCAGTCTGAGCAACTTAGAGACTTAATGAGTTCTTGTCTCAAAAAATAAAGAGTTAAGACAAAGGACTTTATGTACACCTGTGAAGCTGAGGCAGGAGGATCACTGAGTCTGACATTAGCCTATGCTACATTGTGAGTTCAAGGCCAGTTTGTACTATGTAGCGAGACCCTGTCTCCAGAAACCAACACCAAGACCAAAAAAAAAAACAACAAAAAAACAAAAACGAAAACCCACTCTGGCAAAAACACAAAAAGACTGGAGATGCAGTTTAGTGAGAAGGTCCTGGCTTATGATCCCAGAACTGGGGGGAAAAGAACAGTGAGTTCAGATCTCTATATATGTCTTTCTTCAGTGTTTTTCTGAATACATGTATAATGAAAGCTTTTTTGGTGATAAAGTAACAAAAACTCCCACCACCCGCTTCTAGGTACTGAGTACAATAAGTCATACGTGGTAAGGAAACAGCAAAAGATGCCCGGAGAGCAAGGCTGGCAAAGCTGAGGAGCCTCTCCCCACGTGGGAAGGCGAGGGCGGCAGGAGGAGAACCGAGCGGTGAGGAGGTGAGCAGCGGTCACTGGTGCTGCCTACTGTGACCCTGCCTGAGCCCGGTGGGCAGAGAAAGAACGGAAACCCTTTGTTGTAGATACTAAGGGGCCAGCGCAGAGCTGCGCCCACCGCTGTGAGTGTCTCGGGCCCCGGAGGCAAAGGAAGCAAGGTTTATGGGGTCCTCATTCACAACCTGCAGCCAAAATAGCGAGCACTGCGGGTGCCCTGGAGCAGGGAATGATCTCCGGCCACCTGCAGGCCTCGTCCCAGCTGCCCACCAAGGATGGCTGTTCCCCTGGAAACCGCGGGTGCACAGCGGGGTCCAGGTCAGGGCAGAGCGGGCACGGGGCTGATGGTCCCGAAAGGAGGCAGGCAGGCCACCCCGCTGCTGTGCCCTGAGGAGTAACCCCCTGCACGGACGCAACGCCGCCTGCAGCCTACGAGTGCCAGGGATGATCCACGTGGGAGGACAGTCTGGTTAGGGCCACACTGAAACACCACTGGGAACAGCGTCTGTGAGGTGGGATGATAAAACTTAACAGTCAAGTCTTCACACCTTCATTAACCACCTGCAGTTAAAGGGACTCAGCAGAGAAAAGCACAGGCTGGGACTCAAACAAACTCGCTTCACCACTGGTCCCTTTGAAGCCCGGCACGGTGGCACACAATGCCCGGAATGCTAGTGCTTGGGAGGCTGAGGCAGGAGGATTGCTGCCACCTTCTTTCCTGGACTGAAGACACTCTGGGTGCCGGTCCCCTGCTTCGGGTGCCTGCCAGTCTGACAAACCTCCCTCCTGCAGCACCAGGAGCCGCAGTGTACACGCTAGCTCCCACTGCCCATCCACGGGCCTGGCCTCCCAAATACTGTGGGAAGGGATTCTCCAAGGAACACGAAGCAACAGTTCTGCACAGCGCCGTGAAAACATCACGGAGGGAGCCCCTAACTTCTACCCTGGGAAGGAAGATACCCTAACCCTGGAACAAGCCTTCGGGATGCAGAACATCGAACCAGACAACTTCCCAAACTTCTCAGATTTGTAATATTCATATTAAAACAACATACCGAGCAAGGAAGTAAAGTCACAGAAACTAGGTAAAGGATCATTCATCTTAGTCAAGTCACACATGAATGTCCCAAATAGGATCACTAAAAGAGCATTGATTGAGTTGCTTATTTAGGTTCTGGAGATTGAACCCAGGGCCTCTGGACTGGAGTATATGCTCAGCCCTTTTTTATTTTGAGGTTGGGCTCCTAAGTCACTCAGGAGCCCAGGCTGGGCTTGAACTTGTGACCCTCCTTACCTCAGCCTCCTCTCTGGAATTACAGGCCCGTGCCACCCCCCAACCAGCTGAGACTAAAATTAATGCATGAGACCCACAGTACACACTGGTGTGAGATGAAGGAAGTGCTTGTTAATTTATAATTGGCCAGACACCATTTACAAAATGCAAACGGAAGCCAGGGCCCCAGATAACCCCAGTCACCTCTCGTTCACTTGGCACTAAACTGACCACTCACTTTGAAGATGCCAATCCAGTCCTTTCGACGCGGGGCAAACTGCTGGGTGAAGACATAGTAGCAGGTGACATCCCCCCCGGGGATGTAGAACTTCTCCACGTTGTTGAAGATGACCTGCGAGAAGCTGGCCTGGTCCAGCATCACTGCGGACGATGGAGGGTCTTCTTCCGCATTCTCCATGGCGGGCCTGTGGGGGACGGGATGCAGCATGGGTCAAAAAGGTTCCCAAACGCCCAGCTTCTGGGCGGTCAGCCAAGGACATTCTGTTCAAGGCAACTGAGATGGCACAGCTCGCCCTGTTTCCATCTGAGCAGATCGCACGCCTAACTTCCTACTTCCCAGGCCACTTCACACACCACTCCCTGGTGCCTGCACACAGCTGGTTGTTTCCTCTTAAAAAAATGTCACAAAAGAAGCCTAGCTGGGAAACTGTAAGACCTAAATTCTGCAGTTTTAATCCCAACAAGCCTGGAGTTTGGTTTCTCCACTCCATTCCTTTTATCCGGTAACTGTGAAGCACTTTCATTTGTGAGACTCAATGCTAGGAGATGAGGATGGAATTTAGAATAAAGGGAAAGGAGAAGACACTGGGGCACACAATGGCCACCTTTAAATCCCATTTTCCCCACTTTTTAAAGCCACAGCATCGGGCAACTAATCACTATATAGCCCAGGCTGGCCTCAAACTGGTGGCAATCCTCCTGCCCCAGCCTCCTGGGTGGTGGGATTGGAGGTGAGCCCACCCACCTCAGAAGTGAACCCAGGGCCTCACACATGCCAGGCAAGTGTTACACCCCTCTTAACTAGATGGCCCTGTTTCAGCTTCCTCTTTTCTAAAGTAGATGACATCTGGGTACAGCCTCGTCCCGGGTCTGACTGGTTCCAGGGACGAGACGCCGACACCCACACAGCAGCAGCCTGCGTCCTTTGGGAACTGTCCCTTTCACTCCCCACTCGCCTTCCAGGCGCTCAACTTCCGCCAGGCGGCTCCACCCGAGGAAGCTGCTCTGAAAGGCGAGCTCAGCCAAGGGGCAGGCGGCCTGGCCTCCTGGTTCTCCGGAGGAAAACCACCAGTTAGCTTGTGAGCAGAGCACCTGCTCAGTGACAGAAAGGAGCTTCTGGTTCAAAGCTTGTGCCGGGTGAAGGGAACCCTGTCTCTCTCCATTCACCTGAGACCAGGGGCCAACAGCTTTGTCCCCTGCCTATCACAAAGGCAGGGGCTCCCCACGTCCAGCTCTCCCCACTACAAAGGGCTCCTCACTAGTGCCCTCTTCATATTCAAAGCTCAACTATTCTTTGGGGGATTCTGTTGTCATCTTGAGACAAGGTCTTATTGCGCAGTCAGGCTGGCCTTGATCTCAGGGCGATCCTCCTGCCTAAACCTCCTGAGTCCTGGGATAAAACTCAATGAGTTTTGACACACAGGATAAACTTCAGGAAAGGCTGGGAGGCAGAGACTGGCACCCAGAGCACAACTGCACCAGACTGGGCAGGGTCACGGAGAGGGGGAAGGCACCTGTTGGTAAGATCAGGGATCCTGGAGGCTTTCAATCCTCTCTCAGTGATGAAATTCTCTGGGAGAAACGAGCTCCAGTGAGGGCTGGAGAAACGACCTTTCTGACAAATTGAACAGATTTAAGCATCAATTTCCACCAGGTGCAGTGGCGCACACACCTGTGATCCCAGCACTCGGGAGGCTGAGGTGGGAGAATCGCTGTGAGTTCAAGACCAGCCTGGGCTACGCAGTGAGTTCCAGGACAGCCTGAATTACACAGTGAGACCCTGTCTCAAAAAAAAAAAAAACAAAACAAAAAAAATCCCAGAACGTCAGGTGTGGCACACACCTGCAATCCCAGTAATCAATCCTGAGGCAGCAGGATGGCCATCAGTTCTAGACCAGCCTGGGCTACATGAGTTCAAAGCCAGCGTGACCACAAAGCCAGATCATTTCAAACAACAACAAAAAAGCATCAGCTTTCTCTTCCTTTAACCATCCTTCCCACTACAGAACCTCTCCACCATGCACTCTTATTCTGGCAATAATTCAGATGCAGACCTGTTTAAATACAGCATTTTTCTCTGGTGTGAGAAAGAAAAAGTAGAACTAAGGCCTAAAATGTCTAACAGCTGTTGGGAAATGGGAAGGCAATGTTCAAACGCTTAGAAGAACAAGAGAAGAGGGAGGGAGGAAAGAAAGGACAAGAAAAAAGTGAAAATGAAAGGAAAAAGTGGAAACAAAGCTTTTGTACCTAGGGAGGGGAGGGGGGAAAGCGGGGAGGGAATTCCCTTTGACGAATGTTACTACGTGCGCCAAAATGTACCAATGAATGTTTCGCTATTAAAAAAATAAATAAAATGGAATTTACAAAACAGGGCTGGGGATTCAGCTCAGTGGTTCCGCTGACTTCCTCTCACAAAAGAACAAGGGCCCCGAGTTCGATCCCAAAAAAAAAAAAAAAAAAAAAAAAATTCAGATGCAGAAAGCAGAAACAAGAAGCACAGAAATTAAATTCAGAACTGCAGAGAACTACTGAGTCAGGAGTCGTGTTAGGACCTTAGAATCTCGGAATGGTAGTTTACCTAGTTTCTTATTCTTAACCCCAAATCAAAAAAGTGAAACAAAAGGGGAATCTTTAAAGATGAAACCATCCAGTGTGGGGAAATAATACACAGCCCACAAACTGCGAGGCACTTTTCTTGGCCTCTGCTGTAGCTGTCACTTTTTTTTTTTTAAGCTTAGTTTCCAAAAGGATTAGGGCTCTCCAGGGAGCTAGCAGTAACAGGAATGGATTTTCTTATGAGTCCCTTGAATGGGCTCCCGGCTTCTAAGACAACCTGACACATTTTCATCTAATGAGCTCCGGACGCCTGACGGACGACCCCCAGGGCCGCTGTGGGAGCAGAGTCAGAGCCAGGCTGCTCCTGCTCTTGCCTACCAGTCTGCCACTGTGCCGTGCAGAGCAGTGCCGTGTGCTGACCTCGTCCTGCGAGCCTGTCTACCAGCTCAAAGGCCATGGTGGCTTTTCTGTGTCAGCTCAGAGAGAGAAACTAAACACTTCCACGGACGAGGGACACGCAAACCAAAGCTTCATCTGGGAACAGTAAAAACAAAGATCAGCAGAAACCAAACCTACATTCAATCTAATTCTTTCACCCTTCTGCTGATTTTCCTTGCTAACACTGTTAGCAACGGGCAGAACAGATGAACTGATTTAACTTTTTTTTTTTTTTTGTACCAGGGATCAAACTCGGGACCTTGCACATGTGAGGCAGGCGGTAGAACCACTGAGCTAAATCCTGAGCCCTTGATTTAGTTTCTTGAGACAGGGTCTGGCTATAGAGCCCAGGCCGGCCTTGAACTCAAAGTGATCCTCCTGCCTCAGCCTCCTGAGTGCCAGGGTCATGGGTGCCCACCAGGCCCGGCCCTCAGTGAAGTGAGTTGAATCCATCCCTCCCCGGCCTTGGCAGGCCTTACTGGTCAGTGCTCACCAGGGGTACTGATGCACAGGTGGCCCTTAGACAGAAAGAGCAGCAGCACACACAGTGCTCCTCAAGACTACTGAGCCGCTTGCTCCACTTCAGATTTTCCAAGCTGGTCTGGTTCCTTACGTAAAGTATTCTACAGTGTCTTGGAAAACTTCTCTACTGCTGGAGGCCTTTAATACTACTCATCAGACTAGCCATGATGGTCCATGCCTGTTATCCTGGCACTCTGGAGGATGAAGCAGGATCACTTCGCGTGTGACACCTCAAGTTCGAGGCCAGCCCGGGCTACATAGTGACTTCAAGGACAGACTGAACTACAGAGCAAGACCCTGTCTCAAAAAAAGTTTAAAAATTTTTTAAAGTTACATAATAAATAAAAATAAAACTATTCATTAGTCAGGAGTGGTGGGCCATGGACAGATCCCAGCACTCAGGAAGCTGAGACAGGAGGATCAACAGTTGAGGCCAACTATTTGAGTTGGCTGTCCATCGTGTTCTAGCGAGCAAGCACTCATCCCACACAGCCTCAGCGCCTGCCCTACTAGAAGCAGCGCAGAGAAACGGTTCTGCGAATTGGGGTGCAGGCCTACCAAAGAATGTGACAAGCTTACTGAGTCTGTCCATCCAAGGGGTGATTTTTGGTCTGGTTGATCTACTTTTTTGTTGTTGTTGTTGTTTTCTGAGACAGGGGCTCACTATGTAGTTGAGACTGACCTGGAACTCACTATGTAGCCCAGGCTGGTCTTGAACTTACAGCGATCCTCCTGCCTCAGCCTCCCGAGTGCTGGGATGACAGGCGTGCGTCACCACACCCGGAGGGTTGATCTATTTTTGATAGTGAGGTAATGAGGTCCTCCACTATAACCATGTGGATATTTAGACGACCTTTTTTTTTTTTCTTTTTGGTACCAGGGATAACCACAGCTAAATCCCCGGCCCTTTGCTATCTTTTATGCTACGCCACGTCACGGTGGCACGGGCAGTGACAGTGTCTGGAGAGCAGGGGGCAGGGGACTAGGCCAGGAGCCGAGGGACCTGGGTTCCTGCCTCAGTTCTACGCTGTGGAGCCCGAAATCGCGGGCAAACCACTGAATCTGGTGTGCGCTGTTTCCCCACCCGGTCAGCGCTCGGATCAGGCTGGAAATCTGGGACTCTTCCAGCCCTAAGAAACAGGAAGTGGAAGCTCATTACAACTTTCTTCTCAACTGAGAAG